ATAAATCTTTAAAAAAAAAAAAGAAACTGCAGTGTGGCTGTACCATTTTCCTCCAGGAGATATGAGATTCAACTTCTCTATGTCCTTACCAGAATTTGGTATTGTCATTATTTTTTATTTTAGCTGTTCTGATAGATCTGTAGCAATACATAGCTTGACTACCCCAGTCTTGGATTTTGCATAGCTTTACAGTACATCTTAAAATTGGATAGAGTTTCTATTCTAGTCTTCTATAAATGGTTTTAACTTATAGTTCTTTTGCTTTTTCATATAAATTGTAGAATAATGTCTATATTTGTAAAAATATTTTTTCTCAAAAAATGTGATGAGTTATTTTAAACCTTTCATTAATTTGGGGGGAGTAAAGAGCTTTACTATTTTGAGTCTTTCAGTTCATGGATACAACATTGCAACTTGTTTCTATAAATGAAGTTTTATTGGAACACAGTCACGTGGGTTCATTTATGTATTATCATTGCTGGCTGGCTGTGACACAGAGCAAGGTCTTTATGGTCCACAAAGCTTAAAATATTTTTCTTACCCTTTACAAAAAACAATTGCCAATCTTTAGATCTGTTAAATATTAATGATCTATAAATATATGTATATGTATGTATATGCTCATATTTAATTATTTTTTTATTGCAGTAACATTGACTTACAACACTGGATATGACTTAGAGGTATAGGTTCATACCTCTAATGTACATATGTTAACACCCTACTGACCACTAAAACATGGGTAATCCTCCACCACAGTCTATTGGGCCCCTTCCCCACTTTATGCCCCACTCCCATCCTTCCCTTCTGATAACCTCAATTTTGCAGTCAGACTTCTAGGGTTGATCTGGTTCTTTGCTTTGTTTCTTTTTCACTCACAAGTGAACAAAATCATCTACGATTTGTCTTTTTCCTTCTGACTTAATTAATTCACTTACTTCACTTCCAGTTGCATCCGTGTTATAGCAAATAGGAAAATTTTACCTCTTTTATAGCTGAGTAGGGTTCTATTATGTATGTCTTTACTACATCTTATTCTACTCATCTGTGGTTAGATGCTTAGGTTGCTTTCACAACTTGGCATTGTAAATAGTGCTGCAATGAATATAAGTGTTTATAGCCCTTAGAATTCATGTTATATTGTTAAATGAAAAAATTGTGTCATGAAACTGTATAAATTGCTTGGTACCACTTAATTTTAAATATATTTAATTTTAAGTCAATTTCAGGGCCTCCCTGGTGGCCTAAGTGTTAAGTCTCTGCTATCACCTCTACGTAACGCTTCCCTGTAAGGAAGCTAACCTACATATGGTGCAGCAGACTCTCCTGTCTTGCCCACTGCTCCTTTTAGCAGTGTAATTCAGTCGAAATACACTCTTCTGCTGCCCACTCTATTTCTGATGAATCCTCACATCCCCTGCACCTCTGTCCTGTACCCCAGTTCTTGTACACACACACACACACACACACACACACACATATCAATTTCAACCACATTCATAGGTATATCTATTACAAATGAAAGAAAAAAACAGAAATTTAACATTGGTTCTTTCAGAACAGCTGTGTTAACAGTTTTTTAAAATTTTTTTCTTTGTGGTTTTCTGCATTTTCTACTTTCCATCTTAATTAGATAAAAAGTATATAGAAGGTTTGAAAAGGATTCTCCTTTGAAATTTCTCTCTTACCAATCTTATGAGACTTTTTCCTTTCAGGTGAAAAGAAACTTTCAAATCATAGAAGAGGTGACAATCAATTGTTTTTGTTAGAGATACTGAATAATGCTTTTCCAATATGCTTTTCAAAATGTAGATGAATCCTTGCAGGTTTATAATTTAAGCATATCCTTAGTCAATAAGCATAGATAAGAAAACGTCATGAATATTACGAATCTTAACCCTTGGTTTATTCTTTGTAATAACAACTGAGTGATCCACACTGAGAGTGCAACTGTGCAACCAGCAACTGTGTGCAATGCAACCTGCTTAAACCCCAACACCAAGATGAACAAATTGGTTACTGCTGAATGACCATTTCAAATTATGGGAACTGGCAAAATGAACACTTGCATTTGCATTTTTGGAGGCTCTAACCCTCTGTTAACTATGACTCCTGAGTGACAGTTCCCCCCCACCCCCAGATCTGATGGTGGATCAACATAGATATACACAGATCAAATAGCAAGTCACACCATGATAGTAACCTGCTATTTTAGAGTCTGAGGAACCAACATAAGATACAGTGATTATAGCTATGCTTTCATCTGGAAAGGGCTTTGATAGGGTCAGAAAAGACCAAAGGGATGTTTGGAAGGGACACAGGTACTTTACAGGTTAATAACCCACTTCACAAAGTCAGAGTCCACCAGAAATTACCCAATTCTGTTCTTGGAGTGATTATCTTATACCCTAATATTGATTTTTTTTTAAACCCTACTCTATAGCCACTCTGCAAATACTCATTCATACAGTATTTTTTTTTTAATTGAGGCATGTTTTATTTATTTATTTGTTTGTTTGTTTGTTTGTTTATACATGCACTGGGTACAGTCAGAAGCGCGGGAGGGTGAGAGAATTCACCAGAGCCGGAGCGGGGAGCAGAGCAGGCAGAAGGACCAAAGTACACTGCTGAGGGGAGCAGCCGGCGGCAGGAGAGGTCTGCGTGCCATGTGGGACCCTCCTCCGGTGGCCGAGGAGCAGCCGGGGATCGAACCGGCGCCGCAGAGGCCGCGGGCAGCTTCACAACCCAGCGCTCAACCGCTGCGCCACCGGGGAGGCCCTCATTCATATAGTATTAATTAAAGAAAATTAACATTATTTTGGTCACTCTAGGAATTATGTACTAATGATTCTCTTATAATCACTGAAAGTTTGTATAGGAAAAAGATGAAATTCTAAAATGGTCTTATCCTGCTCACAAACAGGCACACATGTTCTCAAATGAAAACATGTTTATTACATAAAGACTGCAGATGCCCAGAACAGCTTGTCATCCCCTTGCTTTTAGGTGATGCCCACACAGCACTGAGAACAGCAGAGATCTGGCAATTTTCTAATTAAACGTGATCAATATTGACAACCAAACGGCATCATTCCGGCCCTGAAGTAGATTTCTGGGCCACAATCATCCTATTTGTCTGTCCACATTGCTCACATTAACTGGGTAAATTGTCTGATCAAATCTTCACTTCTGTAACACCAGCCTGAAGGAGAGAGGTTTAGGGATTTGCACAACAGTAGAGAATGAATAAAAGGTATTCACTCGTTCATCCATTCTTTAACAAATAAAGGTTGACAACTGCTCACTTCTACTGTGCTTGGTATATGGAGATTACTATAATAAATAAGGCATGGATCCTTCTCTACAAGAAGCTTAGAAATTACCGTGAAAAAACAAGATGTATGATCATGAAAGTATGCCCTAAAGCCGATATGTCATAAGATATGTATAGATGCAGTACTGTAGTAATTCATTGGATGAAGACATTACTTCTGTCTGGGGGAATCAGAAAGTGCTTTCTGGAGAAAGATAAGCAGGGACTTGAAGGCAGGAAGTAGAGTAAGACAAAGGTACAGAGAGGGGTTTGGGTCAATCAATTAAACTTACAAGAAGGGGGAAATTACTGTAAGGATTCGGGGGGCGGGGGTGTTGGAAGGAGCTCAAGGCAGACATACACCCAGGTCTCAGAAAGCACTTGAAATCAGGATTGGGATGCAATCAGGAAGCCAGGAAATTATTCATCTTCTTTTGTATCATTTTCTCTGTCTGTAGAGCAGCTTTCTGTGCTTCTTTATTCATATAGTAGACTATGGCCTCTAACAATTAATGGAAGAGCAACTGAAAGAAACTTCTTCCCCCATATTATGTCAACTTCATGAACTACTGTAAAGAAGTGTGAAGTCATAGATGAACATCACTTCCAAGGAAAGATCTAGAAGTTGTTAGCTTTGGGGAGATGACTTGCATGCAGATCAGATAAACCCTAATGGATATTTATGGGGCTGTATATGGGGAATTGTGGAAAAATGCAAATGGAATACATGATTCAAAGGGAAGTTCAGGAAAGATAATGAAAGACTTTGGGAAATCATTGAGAATAGTTATATGAAATAAACTATGCTCTGGACAATTTAATTTGACAGCAATGAGCATGCTGAAGTAATAGATTTCCTTTTGTTTTATTTTTATATTCATTGATCTCACTGCATTACATGTACTTTTGTAAGCCTCTTTAACCTTTTTTTTTTTGAAACAAGATGTAAGATACAATAATTATCGAGTATTTAAAAAAAGAATACATGGATGAAACTACAGGGGATAGTGCTCACTCAGTGAAGTAAGTCAGGAGGAGAAAGACAAGTATTGGATGATTTCATTCATATGTGAAATATAAAGGATTGGACAAAACTAAGCCAAAATAAAACCATGGAATCTGACAGCAGAACTGAAACTACCAGAGGGGAGGAGGTTGAAATGGAGGAAGGAGGTGACTCAAATGACTATGGTGGAGGATTATTGGTGCTTTGGTGGTGGGTGTGGTGTGGTAACACGTTTGAAGAGGTGGAACTTATACCCCTAAAACTTTCAGTCTTATAAGATATTACCTAAATAATTTTTAAAGAGTACACATTACAGGTAATAAAAAGGTGACTTAAAATGTACCTACTAATTTGCTCTGTGAACATTGGATGTCACTAAACTACTCTGAACCCAAGTTGTCTAAGCTTAAAATATTGTGAAGATTCAATTAGAAGACAAGTGGCTCTTGTGTGACCCCCTCATCCCTTTTACCCTATCCAAGTGTTAGTTTCTTTGTTCTTTCCCACTGAGCTGAGTCTTGGAATCCTCCAATCTTGAGGCAGCTCTGAACAATCGTTCACTGCAAGCATCACTCAAGTCCAAAATATTTGCCATCTCTCAGGAATGATTGTAAATTGCAAAGTTTTTATAATATCACAGGATGAAGATGGAACTTTTTGACCAATCCTCTTATTTTACAGGTAAGAAAACTGAGGTCAGAAAACTGAGTGATTGGCTTAACATCACACCAGCTAGTAAGCTGTATCTCTATCCTCTTTTGGTAATTTTAATAAAAGATTTTTTTTGCTGTTATATTTCTTCTCTGTGATCATGGAACATTGGCTTGGGATTATCTTTTAATACTAGCAATAGAACTTTCCAATTAAAAAAAAACTTTATTTTTTTATCAAACATACCATAGTTATTTGAATTTATATTTTCTGATTAATGAAATCTGACTTGCAGTGAACCACCAGTGACATACTGGAATTTAGCAATTGGCCAGAAGTGATTTCCCAAATATATGAAATTGGGTCTTTAACCTGCTTATGAATGTTTTCTATTTTGGTGGCATGTCAAAAAAATAAAGACATTACCCTTTAGTGAGTACTGGATAGTCTCCTTAGCAAATCTGAGTATGGTACTTGGTCTTCTGTTACTCATATTTTCCTCTTCTTGTTTGTGTGTCCTGATTTCTCAGCTGCTGTGGAATGAAGAATTGGTGTCTTAGACTTGCAACATTTTTCAAGAGATCACCTGATCTAGTTCTTGGAGTCCAGAGAAATGAACTTCTTGGTCAACCAATCAGAAAATGATCGAGCTTATTCTTTACCAACTCAATAGATGCAGAGGAGACCAGAATTTTATATCCTTCTCTGATACAGAAATTTTAGTTTATAAACCTATTTTAGATATTACTCTTTGCATTGCATTGCAATAATTTGTTTACCAGTATATCTTCCCTTGAGGACAGAAATGTATATTTATTATCTCTCAATACACAGGCAGTTGATAAATGCCCATTGTTAAGTGCATGATACGAGTATTCAATTGAATTCTAGTTCCTTATAAAGCATAGTAGAAGCCCTGTTTCCTTTCGTTTTGGCCCCTTCAGACGGGGAAGTGTCCCAGCACGGGGATTAATACAAAGGAACCAAATGGGAAATGCTTGTTGAACAAATGGATGAACAAAAGATGACTTCACAAGTCTTGAAAGTCTGCTCACACATGTATTTTTGGGTCACGCCTTATTTTTCCCTAATTATAGTGATGTATTTAAGATACTTTTCCAAATAAATCTGTTTATGCCTTATTAAGCTTCAAAATATTAGTTAAAATTTAAGGTATATGAAGCAAAAATTCCAATTATATCATTGTTTCTTATGCTGGGACCTTTACTTTACGTAGTGCCAGTTAAATTTCAGAAGCAATCATGAACATCTGTGTATGCAAGGCAGAGAAGATGGGGCAGATGTTTTAGGATTTTCAGCAGAGGAATGACAAACACCCACATCTTGTTGCCCTTTCAATATGACTAACCCTTGCTGACTCCTCAACAGAGTGTTTCTTCCCAGGTGAGGGCTTCCTCTCACGCAGTTCCTTTACCCAGGCAGTGAGGCACCATGCTGGTTATTTGCTCAGACATCCTGGGTTTGAATCCTAACTGCTACAGTCTAGTTGTGTGACCTTGGACAGGTTTCTTAATCTCTCTGAGTCTCAGTTTTCCTATCTGTAAAATGTCCATAATTACACTTGGGAGGAGTATGGAAAATAATGCATGTAACATGCTTATCATAGCATCTGGCACTCAATGAACACCAGTTCTCATTATTTACATAAAAATGCCTTTACTCTCTATTTCCTCTCACCCTGTCTTCAAGGCCAAGCTCAAATGTTGCTGCCTCTCATGCCAACCAGGCTGATCTTTCCTTTTTCAAATGTCTTTTGTATTCACTTGCTCTACCGCAAAGTAATCCCCTCATTACATGGTACTATGCTACTCTCCAATACCTATGTTTACAATTTTTTTTAAAGGTTTTTTTTTTTTTTTTTTTTTTCAGGAGAGAAATTTTATTCTTTTTTTTTTTTTTTATCTTAAATTTTATTTTTATATTCCCCCATACAATTGCAAATGCCCCATTCTGACCCCAATCCTTCCCCTCCCGCCCCCCACCCCCCAAAAGTGTCTCTGGTTCATAGTTTTTTGTTGATTTTGATTTTCACTTTCTTATATTCATTTTCCTGGTCCCTTATTTAAGTTTTCTAGATTCCTGCTATGAGTGAGACCATCCGGTATTTTTCTTTTTCTTTTTGGCTTATTTCGCTGAGCATGATCCCTTCCAGCGCCATCCATGTTGCTGCAAATTGCATGTGTTTATCTTTTTTGAATGCTGAGTAATATTCCATGGTATATATGTACCACATCTTCTTGATCCAGTCATCTACTTTTGGGCATTTGGGTTGTTTCCAAAGCTTAGCTATTGTAAACAGTGCTGCTATAAACATAGGGGTGCAGGTGCTCTTTGGAATTGATGTTTCTGTGTCCTTTGGGTAAATACCTAGGAGTGGAATTGCTGGATCATATGGAAGCTCTATGTTTAGTAGGTCCAGAAATCTCCACACAGCTCTCCATAGTGGTTGGACCAGTTTGCACTCCCACCAACAGTGCAGAAGAGTTCCTTTTTCTCCACATCCTCGCCAACATTTGTTGTTGCTAGTTTTTTTAATATGTGCCATTCTCATTGGTGTGAGATGGTATCTCATGGTAGTTTTGATTTGCATTTCCCTGATTGCAAGTGATGTTGAACATTTTTTCATATGTCTGTTGGCCATTTGCATTTCCTCTTCAGAGAAGTTTCTTTTTAGCTCTTCTGCCCATTTTTTGACTGGATTATTTTCTTTGTTGTTGCTGAGTCTCATCAGCTCTTTGCAGATTTTTGTGATCAGTCCTTTATCATTAGTGTTGGGTGCAAAAATGTTCTCCCAGTTGGTGGGGTTCTCTTTGTTTTTGTTATTGTCTCTTTTGCTGTGCAGAAGCTCTTTAATTTGATGTAGTCCCAGCTGTTTATCTTTCTCTTCACTATCACTGCTTTGGGTGATGTGTCTGTAAAGATGTCTTTGATGTGCAAATCCCGTAGTGTTTCGCCTATATTTCCTTCTATGTATTTTATGGTTTCAGGTCTTATGTCTAGTTCTTTAATCCATTTTGAGTTGATTTTTGTGTATGGTGTGAGGTAGTGGTCAAGCTTCATTCTTTTGCATGTAGCGACCCAGTTTTCCCAGCACCATTTATTGAACAAACTTTCTTTGCTCCAATGCATAGTCTTTGCTCCTTTGTCAAAGATTAGTTGACCATAAATCTGTGGGTTTATTTCTGGATTTTCTATTCGATTCCATTGGTCTGTATGTCTGTTCTTGTTCCAATACCATGCAGTTTTGATGATTATGGCTTTGTAGTATAGTTTGAAGTCTGGGAGTTTGATGCCTCCATTTCCTTCTTTTTTTTTTCAGTAGAGCTTTGGCTATTCGGGGTTTTTGGTGATTCCATATGAATTTCATCAATAATTGTTCTATTTCTTTGAAGAATGCCATTGAGATTTTGATTGGAATAGCATTGAATCTGTATATCGCTTTTGGTAGGATGGCCATTTTAATAATGTTTATTCTTCCAATCCATGAGCAGGGGATGTCTTTCCATTTCTTTGTGTCTTCTTCTATTTCTTTTAAACAGTGTTTTATAGTTTTCTTTGTATAGGTCCTTTACCTCTTTTGTTAGATTTATTCCCAAATATTTGATTTTTTTTGTTTCAATAATAAAGGGGTGGTTTTTTTTATTTCTTCTTCTTCAGATTTATTGTTTGTGTATAGGAAGGCTACTGACTTTTGTGTGTTGATTTTGTATCCTGCCACTTTACTGAACTGACTGATGAGTTGAATTAGTTTTTCTGTGGAGATTTTGGGGTTCTCTATGTATATTATCATATCATCTGCAAATAGTGATAGTTTGACTTCTTCTTTTCCTATTTGGATTCCTTGGATGTCTTTCTCTTGTCTTATTGCTCTGGCTAGGACTTCCAGTATTATATTGAAAAGCAGTGGTGAGAGTGGACATCCTTGTCTTGTTCCAGATCTTAATGGAATTGCTTTCAGCTTTTCACCATTGAGAATGATACTGGCTGTTGGCTTGTCATAGATGGCCTTTATGATGTTGAGGTATGTTCCTTGTATCCCAAGAATTTCAAGGGCTTTTATCATGAATGGGTGTTGCACTTTGTCGAAAGCTTTCTCAGCATCTATTGATATTATCATATGGTTTTTATATTTCTTTTTGTTGATGTGTTGGATAACGTTGATTGATTTTCGGATGTTAAACCATCCTTGTGCCCCTGGAATGAATCCAACTTGGTCGTGGTTTTATCTTATGGATTAAATATCCATAAGAATTATCTTATGGATACATTGTTGGATTCTGATAGCTAAAATTTTATTGAGGATTTTTGCATCAGTGTTCATTAGGGAGATTGGCCTATAGTTTTCCTTTTTTGTGTTGTCCTTATTCGGTTTTGGTATTAGTGTAATATTGGCTTCATAGAACGTGTTTGGTATTGTCCCTTCCTTCTCAATTTTTTGGAAGAGTTTGTGAAGGATAGGCACTAATTCGTCTCTGAATGTTTGGTAGAATTCATTTGTAAATCCATCAGGCCCTGGGCTTTTGTTTTTGGGGAGGTTTTGATTACCATTTCAATTTCGCTGCTTGTAATTGGTCTGTTTAGGTGTTCTATTTCTTCTTTATCTAGCTTTGGGTGATTGTAGAGTTGTAGGAATTTGTCCATCTCCTCTAGATTGTTGAACTTGTTTCCATATAACTGTTCATAGTAGTTACTGATTATTCTTTTGATTTCTGCTGTGTCCGTTGTGATTTCTCCTCTTTCATTTATGATCCTGTGTATTTGTGCTTTCTCCCTTTTTTCCTTTGTGAGCCTGGCTAGGGGTTTGTCTATTTTATTTATTTTTTCAAAGAACCAGCTCTTGGTTTCATTGATCTTTTGGATTGTTTTTTTAGTTTCAATTTCATTTATTTCTGCTTTGGTTTTTATTATTTCTTTTCTTCTACTGGATTTGGGGTTTTTTTGTTGTTCTTTTTCTAGATCTTTGAGCTTCGAGATTAGGTTGTTTCTTTGAGTTCTTCTTGTTTTTTGATGTGAGCTTCTATTGCTATATATTTTCCTCTTATTACTGCTTTTGCTGCATCCCATACATTTAGGATATTGGTGTCCTCCTTGTCATTCAATTCAAAGAATTTTTTAATTTCTTCTTTGATCTCCTCATTAGTCCAGTGGTCTTCCAGTAGTGTGGCTTTTAATCTCCATGAGGTAGGATAGTTCCTTGCCTTCTTTTTATGATTTATTTCTAGTTTGATGCCTTCGTGGTCAGAAAAGATGGTTGGTATGATTTCAATCTTGGTGTATCTGTTGATGTTTGTCTTGTGCCCCAGTATGTGATCGATCCTGGAGAATGACCCGTGTGCGCTTGAGAAAAATGTGTACTCCGTTTTTTTTGGGTTTAGTGTTCTATAGATGTCTGTTAAGCCCAAATGCTCTAGGTCCTTATTTAGAGCTTTAGTTTCTTTACTTATTTTTTGTCTTGTTGATCTATCCATTGTTGATAGTGGTGTGTTGAAGTCTCCCACTACGTATGTGTTTTCTCTGATGTCTGTTTTCAGAGAGGACAACAGTTGTCTGATATATTTTGGTGCTCTTTCGTTTGGTGAGTATATGTTAATGAGTGTTATTTCTTCTTGAAGTATTGTCCCCTTAATCATAATGTAGTGACCATTGGGGTCTCTTTTTATTTTTTGAGTTTGAAGTCTGTTTTATCTGATATAAGTATAGCTGTTCCTGCTTTCTTTCTTGGCCCATTTGCTTGTAGGATTGTTTTCCATCCTTTGACTTTGAGCCTATTTTTATCTTTTGTAGCTAAATGTGTTTCCTGGAGACAGCAAAAGGTTGGGTTTTGTTTCTTAATCCAGGCTGCAACTCTGTGTCTTTTTATTGAAGAGTTTAGTCCATTTACATTTAGAGTTAATATTGATATGTTAGCATCTGTATTTGCCATTATGTTTGTCTTTCCTTTGATTTTATTTATTCTTTTAATAACTTTTTTTTTTTTTGGTCTTCTTTCGTTGTTATTCGTCCCTCTGAGGTTCTGGCTTTAGGATTCCTTGTAGTATTTTTTGGAGTGGGGGTTTATTCGTA